AGAGACGGGGTTTCACCATGTTGACCAGGATGGTCTCGATCTCTTGACCTCGTGATCCACCCGCCTCGGCCTCCCAAAGTGCTGGGATTACAGGCTTGAGCCACCGCGCCCGGCCGAAACCTAGGGTTTTAAGAAAAAAATCCAGAAATCAAACTTAAAAGTTGTGGAAGGCCTAGTATGACTATAATTTGGCCCAGTTCACAAAACCCACCTACAAGCTCAGGCCAGGCAGTGTCACACCTGTAATCTCAGCACTTTTGGAGGCTGAGGTGGAAGGACTGCTTGAGGCCAGGAGTTTGAGACCAACCTAGGAAACATAGGGAGACTGTCTCTACAAAAAAATTTCTTACAAATTAGCTGGGGCCGGGAGTGGTGGCTCACGCCTGTAATCCCAGCACTTTGGGAGGCCAAGGCAGGTGGATCACAAGGTCAGGAGTTCAAGACCTGCCTGGCCAATATGGTGAAACCCTGTCTCTACTAAAGTACAAAAATTAGCCGGGCATGGTGGCTCACATCTGTAGTCCCAGCTACTTGGGAGGCTGAGGCAGGAGAATCACTTGAACCTGGGAGGCGGAGGTTGCAGTAAGCCCAGATCGCACACTGCACTCCAGCCTGGGTGACAGAGACTCTGTATCAAAAAAAAAAAGAAAAAGAAAAAAGAAAAAAATTAGTGGGGTGTGGTGGCATAGGCCTGTAGTCCCAGCTACTCAGGAGGCTGAGGTGGGAGGATCACTTGAGCCCAGGAGGTCAAGGCTGCAGTGAGCCATGACTGCACCACTGCACTCTAAGCCTGGGTGACAGAGTGATACCCGGTCTCAAAAACACACAAAAAACTCAATGGGGCTGGGTGCAGTGGCTTAAACCTGTAATCCCAGCTACTTGGGAGGCTAAGGCAGGAGAATCGCTTGAACCTGGGAGGCAGAGGTTGCAGTGAGCAGAGATCGTGCCACTGTACTCCAGCATGGGCAATACAGCAAGACTATCTCAAAAATAAAACAAAACAAAAAACCTGAGGATCTGAGTGTCTGAGTGGACCACGCCACCCTCCATGTGAGTAGGATGTGTCCCCAACAGAAAGCAAGAATAAAGAGAAGAGGGAGAGAGAGGAGAGCAAGAGAGACGGCGTATCTGTAAGAAAAGTCAGTATATTTATGGTTTGCTTTATAAAAGTTACTATAATACAATGGTACATAGTATTGAATTCACAAAAATATGAACAAATATTTACAGCAAGACACACTCACAACGGAAACACTTCTCTTCAAAACAAGTTACATATGGATGATGGAGTCTATACGCACAAACATCCCTAAAACTTATTGGTTCTCTTCTTTGCAGGGGGAGGGAGAGAAAAGAAAACCAAAAATAGCGGAAACCCCCAACCCTTCAAAAGCAGAGATCTGTTCAATGAAAAATGAAGGAGTTGAAAGAAAAATGACTCAACACATATCTTGATTATTGCAAACCACTCTGGGGCTGGGGCGGGGGCTCCTGGGGAGAGGGAGGCCTAGTCCCCTTAGCGAATGCCAGTCAAGGTTAACACTGGGCACGATGGTTGGGCAAGGTGAGGCCAGGTGGGGGGCAAGGCAGGGGTCCCTTTCCTGGTCTCCTGGCACCCCCTACTTCTTTTATGGGGGAAGGGACAGAATGGAGACAGCCCCTCGGGGGCTGTGCAAGTAACTTGAACCAGCCATCTCTATAAGCATTTCCTCATGTGAAAAATAAATTATTTCCTCAGTTGCACAATTAGGCAGAAAACCGCAAACGGAAGAGAAGTTCGCCGCTGTGCCCAGGCACCCCGTCTGTGTCTTAATACCACCAATTTCCTTGATCTTGAAACCAGCGGGCACAGTCTCAAATAGAGGGGGCCTGGGGGAAAGCAATTAAAAAAAAAAACACAACAAAACCACCAACGACAAAAAAGAGAAAAATAACAATTCTTTGTACAGAATTTACATGATAACAAGCTTGACACAAGCTGAGATACCAGAGGCTCCGGCCGCCTGCGTCCGCAGGGTGGGGCGGCTCCCACATGGAGCACGCTCGACTCGATGAGGACTCCGGGTCACAACAGTCACTTTCCAGAAATTATTTACACGCCTCCTCTGCTTTCTGGGGTACGGGGGGGCTTGCTTTTGTGTTTTTTTTTTTTTTTTGGAAGTACAAAGAAATGAGCAAAAAAGGTCTTCCCGCATGTTTCTACAAGAAACAATGTTCCCAAGAGAAAGTCCTTTATGGCAGCCTATATACAGAAGTTGATTCTGAACTTCAAAAACCTTTTTCCCCTTCGTTTTGATTTTATACACGTACAAGAAAAAAAAAATCCATGGGAATAAACTCTGAGGAGGATGGGAAGGGGGTCAAAAGGGAAAATAAACTGCGAAAGACTTAGATCTGATTTTTAAAAATCTTTTCCAAGATTTTCCTTTCTCTGGGAGAATCTGCTCCCTCCAAAAATAAATATGCTCTGGTCTTCTTGGGGTGAGGGGCTGCTGGTAGGGGGATGTGGGGTGTGTGTGAGGGGTGAATGGGTGAAGCTTATAAGCCAAAAAATGCCACATGCAGATGGTCTGACAACCCGTAATGGCGGGACTGGGGGACCCGCCTGCCCTTGGGAGCCCCCCTCCCACCAGGGTGAAGGCAAGAGCAGAAGAGAGTGGCCGCCCACCTTCTCAGCGCCCCCCACCTGCACCGGGGCCTCTGAGAGGCTCCCTCATTGCTGGCATCCGAATGAGAAAGTAAACATTGAACCCAAGGTTTCGGGGGTGCTGGGGTGAGGTGGCAGGGAGAGCCCAGAGCAGAGACCCCTGCCTGCGATCAGCTTAGCTCCGCCAGGGTCCGCAGGGTCAGTGGTGCCCCAGCCTCTGGGGAAGGAACAGGCTGGGGCTTGGGTTGGGAAAGGTGTGGGGTCTCCTCACTGTGCCCACAGGCAGAGAGGGGTGCTTTCAGGGCGTAGTGTTCTGAGGTCAAGGCCGAGGGGCCCTCCGTCCTTCCACAGCACCTGGCCGTGTCCAGGCCTGGGTGGCTTCCAGGACGTGGGCCACGCACGGCCACCGCAGCCCCCCCGGGGGGGGGCGGCCCTCTCTCTGATTCCACCTTCACATTTCAACGGTTAAAATGTCTTTTCTCACGATGAGGAAAAAAACAGAGAAGACAAAACAACGTAGCAGCATTCACAGGAAGAGGCCGAGGGTAATGGGGAGAGAAGAGACAGAGAGAGGGAGGCAGGGGAGAGACTGAGAGGGAGAAGCTGATGCTGGAGTTACACAGAAATCCTCAAAAGGGCATTTGTAAAAATGAGAGACGTGGGCTGAACGACAGAGAAGCCCTTTCCCGCGGAGGGGCCGGAGCCGGGGGCTCCAGGGGGTAGTGTGGGGCGCCAGGCCCTGAATGGCCGCTGGGTAGAGGACAGCACCTGAAATGGGGGTGGGCAGGGGGCCGGGCCCCGGGCCAGGGACTCCACGCTCGGGATTCCCGGGGCTACGGCTGACATCCTTCGAGTCTGGCACCAGGGCCTAGTTGAGGGTCCCCCGGCAGTTCTCGGAGCCGCAGAGGCAGGGGATCTTGACGTCCTCGATGGGGAACTTATAGTCATAGGTGATCTCCTCGTTGACGTTTATGTGCTGCTTCGAGTAAATGACGATCTTCTTCTGCGACTCCACCGTGATCACCTTGGCATAGCAGTTGGGCTGCAGGCAAGGTTGAGGGAGAGTAAACCCCAGACCCCTCAGGGCCCCCCACTGCTGCAGACCCCTCAAACCCATCCAGACCTGTGCTCAAGGCCTGACACTGCCACGTGACCCCCAGCCCACTGGTCACCTGCTCTGGACCTTGGCTTCCCCTGCCCCCAGGGGTGACTCCTTGCCTTTGATACTAAATAATGACAGTGATGAAAATTATTTCTCAGGCCTTTCATTTCCATTCATAGTGAAAGTGCCTCCCAAATGTATGTCTATTTTTAGCTCAGGTCTCACTTCTGAGCTCTAGACAAAGGATCAGCAAACTATGGCCCCTAGCTGCCTATTTCTGTAAATAAAGTTTTATTGGCACACAGCCATATCCATTCTCCCATTCATTTGTACATGATTTGTGGCTGCTTTTGTTGTAACAGCCAAGTTCGGTAGTTGCCATAGAGATCATCTGGGGCACAAAACCAGAATATTTATTATCTAGCCCTTTACAGAAAAGGTAAAGGGCTCCAAGCCCATAAATGCAACTACCTGCCGTCTGCCCGTGGCAGCCCCGGGACCTATCTTTGACTCAGAAAGCTCACATCTAAAGCATGACCTGCTCCTGCTCTGGGCAGCCGCTGCACCACGCACCCAGGCCCCAGGGCATCTGCCTCCCGGCCTCCTCTTCAGTCCACATCTGCCCCCATCAGGGCCAGTGAGTTCTGTCCCCAAAGGGCCTCTTGGTTGTGTCGACTGCTCTCCACCTCTGGGGCCACCAGCCATACTCAGGCCCCATCACTGCTCACAGCCTGCTACAGCCCCCACAGCCACTCTCACCCCTGAAAAAATCCATTCCTCCCCCAGCAGCCAGGGAAGTGTTTCCAAAGGGACAGCAGAACCTGTCACCCGATGGCTCCAACCTTCCAGCGGCCTTGGCTCTCAGAAAACTTAGTTCCTCAGCTTGGCCATCTGCCGCCCGGCCCACCCCGTCCTCTCACGCTACCCCATCCCTACTGCCTCCCTTGCTGCCTCTCAAACAGGCATTCTCCCCACTGCCCCAGGGCCTTTGAACATGCAGTTCTTGTCCCAGCACCGCTTCCCCTGGGCAATTCCCTCTCACCACTCAGATCCCCCCGGATATTCAAAGGAAAGTCCCTACCACCCAGGCAAGGATCAAGTCACAACCATGAGAGCCAGCAGGCGCTGAGGACCAGCTTGGTCAGCTCTTAAAAGGCCCACGTGCAATGACCCACCCTTGTGGCCCTCCCAACAACCCACAAAGAAGGACTGTTATTGTCCCTGTTTTACAGACAAGGAAACCGAGGCACAGAGACATTAAGTAACTTACTACGCTTCAACATCAAGACTCAAACCCAGAGTCAGGGGCGCCCACCCCGGAACAGGCCTGCCTCCTGCTGGGAGCCTGTCCTTTGGCACTCAAATCCCTCTTATCAGTGCCCCTCCCCTCTAGGCCTGCACCACCCAATATAGTCGTCACAAGCTAATTAGGTCTCATAAATTCATCAAAATGAAATAATATTGAAAACACAGGTCCCCAGATACACCGAGCACATTTCAAGTGCTCAACACCATACGTGCGGCTAACCCACAGCACAGATGCAGCAGTGCATGGACCCCCTGCAGAAAGGTCTGGTAGACAGCTCAGCTGGAGGAGGGCTAAGCCCAACCAATGAAGGCACAGAGCAAAGGCTAGCTCAGAGAAACAATCCGTAATTATCGATGAACTGAACCAACCACTTCTTGAGCACCTTGCGTCCTCAACACACCACAGAAGTCTCACTATGCCCATTTGACAGATGAGAAAACTGAAGCTCAGAGGAGCAGGGCTCCTGGTAGGAGACCTCACATGTCCTCCTCTCCCTATAACCCTCGGCTGACCTGAGCTTGGGAAGGAGGCTGAGCTGATTCCCATGCCGGGGCTTTAGGTGCTCCTGGCACAGAAGCAGGGCCAGAGGCCACCTCCTGCCGGGTACTCACGTTGCAGCTGTGGTTGATGAAGCGTGCGAAGTTGCCGCACTTGGTGGCGTCGATGATGGTGTCGTGGTCTACCCGGAACATGTAGCTGCTCCCGATGCCCTCGTCCTCATAACGCTTCTCCCTCATGTCTGCAATCACCTGGCCACGAAAGGGTGTCAGTCTGGCTGGGCTAGCCCCGTGCCCACCCTGTGCCCATCCCACTGGGCAGTGCCTACCTGGCGGATGTTCTGGCCCACGTACTCGATGACCATCTCATCGGCCGCAATGGGCTCCATGGCGAACAAGCCCCAGTCGTGAATGTGGCTCTTGCAGAACTTGAGCTTTTTCTTCCGGAACTACGGGAGGAAGGAGGGGAGAGGTGAGCCCTGGTCTCAGGTCCTGCTGCCACCCCGGGACCTGGGTGAAGTCCGGCCTCACCTTGAGCTGGTTGAACTTGAGCAGGTCACTGTCACAGCTGCCAGTGAAGGAGGACAGCAGGCGGCGCTGCTCTGAACGCCGCTCCGAGCCGGCCCGGGTGGAGGCATGGGGCTGCGCTGGGATGCTCATGCCCTGCAGAGGATCATATGTGGGGGCTCAGAAGGTCCGTCCCACCCTAAGCTCTGTCCTTGCTCTGGGCTTCTCTGCATCTGTCTGTACCTGATTGTCACCACTTCCCCACCTCGTCCATCCCATCAGTATCTGAACATGCTCAAGTTCCTTCTATCTTCAAAATGACCCGCCCTTTCCTGGCGCTGTCTTTTCCCCATTTCAGCCCAAGGTTTTGTCTACCCTGAACCCCATCTCATCTCTCACCCAGACCCCTCCAACCCCCAAGAATTCAAAATTGGGGATCGTTCTGAAACCCTCATGTCATGTCCTGCTCTTGGCCTCCACAGGCCTCTGCCCCACCCATTAACCCTTGGAACGTCCCAGGCCTCTGCCTTCAGTAACCACTTGCCTCCTGGCAATGCCTACACTTAGGTTCCCGGGCTGGAGATCCTCATCCTAAGCTCTGCTGTACCCACATGCCCACCAGACCTCGCTGCCTGGGTGTTTCAGAAACCCCAGAACTCAAGCTGTCTTGCGGTGATGGCGTATCGACCTCCCCATCTCAGGCCTGGCGTCCAGCTTCCCAGAGCCCCCGACCCTAGCCAGACCCTGGGCTGTCACCACCCCCATCCCTGTCTCCTGTCCTCAGTCGGGCCCTGGTCCTGTCCATTCCACTTCCTCATAGTCTTCCACCAGCATCCACTTCTCACGGCCCACTTAAGTCCAGCCTGCCCGCACACCCAGCGTGGAAATCGCAGCAACCCACACACAGTCTGCCTTCAGGACCCCTGCGCCAGCTCCGCAGAGCAGCCAGCGGGCACTTTGGGAGTCAAGGCTGGAACCACGCCATCCCAGCTCCTCTCAGAACCTCCCTTAGCTGGCTGTCACCCCAGGAGACAAGCCACTCACTGCCACAGTCCCCAGGACCCTGGTGGCCCGTCAGCGAGCCCCTCTCCAGTTTTAACTTTATGGAAGTCGCTTTCTACTCTGTCGTCTTGTGGCATCCGCATGGCTCCTTCCCTTACTCCGCTTGGGTCTGACCTCTCTGACTCCCCTTTGACTTGGTAATCCCTAACCCCCTCTCCTGTTTTCTCCATCGCATTTTCTCTGCCTGGAATCACATGCTTCTTTGTTCACTTGATTATTTCCTACGAGTCCCCACTAAAATATAAATTCCAGCCACTCACCATGATTCATGCCTGTAATCCCAGCATTTTGGAAGGCCGAGGCAGGCCAATCACAAGATCAAGAGATCAAGACCATCCTGGCCAACATGATGAAACCCTGTCTCCACTAAAAATACAAAAACTAGCTAGGCATGATGGCGTGTGCCTGTAGTCCCAGCTACTCTGGGGGCTAAGGCAGGAGAATCGCTTGAACCAGGTGGTAGAAGTTACAGTGAGCTGAAATTGTGACACTGCATTCCAGCCTGGTGACAGAGCAAGACTCTGTCTCAAAAAAAACAAATAAAAAATTTTAAAAAGAAAAGTTAATAATTAAATAATTACATTCCATGAGGAAAAAGATTTGCTTTTGTTCATTGCTATAAACCCAGAACTGTGCTGGGTACACAGCATGTACTCAATAGATACTTGCTGGATTAAAAAAGAATGAATGGGGCCGGGCGCGGTGGCTCAAGCCTGTAATCCCAGCACTTTGGGAGGCCGAGGCGGGTGGGTCACGAGGTCAAGAGATCGAGACCATCCTGGTCAACAGGGTGAAACCCCGTCTCTACTAAAAATACAAAACATTAGCTGGGCATGGTGGCGCATGCCTGTAATCGCAGCTACTCAGGAAGCTGAGGCAGAAGAATTGCCTGAACCCAGGAGGCGGAGGTTGCGGTGAGCCGAGATCGCGCCGTTGCACTCCAGCCTGGGTAACGAGAGCGAAACTCCGTCCCAAAAAAAAAAAAAAGAATGAATGGGCCGGACGTGGTGGCTCATGCCTGTAATTCTAGCACTTTGGGAGGCTGAGGCAGGTGGATCACAAGGTCAAGAGTTCAAGACCAGCCTGGTCATGATGGTGAAACCCCATTTCTACTAAAATTACAAAAACTAGCCAGTGTGGTGGCAGGCACCTGTAATCCCAGCTGCTCGGGAGGCTGAGGCCAAGAATTGCTTGAACCCGGGAGGTGGAGGCTATAGTGAGCCAGGGCAACAGAGCGAGACTCCATCTCAAAAAAAAAAAAAAAAAAAAAAGAATGAACGAGGCCAGGCAATGTGATTCATGCTTATAATCCGAGCACTTTGGGAGGTCAAGGTAGGCAAATTACTTGAGGTCAGCAGTTGAGACCAACCTGGCTAACATGGCAAAACCCCATCTCTACTAAAAATTAGCCAGGCATGGTGGTAGGCACCTGTAATCCCAGCTACTTGGGAGGCTGAGGCAGGAGAATCACTTGAACCCAGGAGGCAGAGGTTGCAGTGAGCTGAGGTCATGCCACTGCGCTCCAGCCCAGGTGATAAAGCAAGACTCTAGCTCCAAAAAAGAAAACAAGCAAAAAACAAAGAAATGAATGAGCCTTGTGGATCTGACTTTGCCTCCCTGATTAAGCTCTTGGGAGGTGGTCCAGGGCACACTAGACTAAGGCAGATCCCTTCCTTCTCCTAGGCCCTGCCCACCTGCCTCTCCCCTTCCACTTGTTCACTGTGTGCCAGCCCCTCTGGCCTCACAAGTCACTCTGCCTGGTGCCCCTCCAGGAGTGCCCCAGATCCCCGTGCCCAGTCAGGCAGGCTCTGATGTGTCCAGGAACCCTGGCAGTACCTGGGTGTCTGCAGGGGGCTCATCGGTGCTGGCACGGCTGCTGTTGAGGTATCTGAGCTTGTCTTTCTTGTCGATGGTGTAGAAGCCCTCGCTGCGGGCACAGCCCGTCACATGCTCACGGATGCCATCATCCCGTTTCTTTTTCTTAGCTGAAGAGAGGCTGGTGGGTGGGTGTGGGTCAAGGGCCACATGGACATTCTCAGAGAGCCCCTCCTGGCCCCTTCAGAGACTGGTCCCGCCCATCCTCAGACCACCCTCCAGGGGCAGCAATGCCCAGTTCTACTGCCCACTCCCATGCCACCTCCCCAAGGCTGCCTGCTGACCAACCCCACTGTCAGTCAGTACCTAGTTGCATGCCTGTTTTTGAGACAGGGTTTCTGTTGCCCAGGTGGCGTGCAGTGGTGCAATCTCAGCTCACTGTAGCCTCTGCCTACTGGGCTCAAGTAATCCTCCAGCCTCAGCCACCTGAGCAGCTGAAAGTACATGCATGTGCCACCACTCCCAGCTCATTTCTGGATTTTTTTTGTAGAGATGGGGTTTTGCTACATTTCCCAGGCTGGCCTTGAATCAAGGGCTCAAGTGATTCATCCACCTCAACTTCCCAAAGTGCTGGGTGTGTTAACCAATTTCTGCCCAGTTTCCCATCTGTAAATTGGGGTTACAGTGATGCCTCTGCAAGTGATGAAATATGCTTATGGTCCTTAGCAGAGGTTTTTTTTTTTCTTTTTTTTTTTTTTTGAGATGGACTCTCGCATCATTGCCCCGGCTGGAATGCAGTGGTACAATCTCGACTCAGTGCAACCTCCACCTCCCAGGCTCAAGTGATTCTAGTGCCTCAGCCTCCAGAGTAGCTGGAATTGTAGGCACACACCACCACGCCCGGCTGATTTTTGTATTTTCAGTAGCGACGGGGTTTCACCATGGTGGCCAGGCTGGTCTGACTCCTGGCTTCAAGTGATCCGCCTGCTTCGGCTTCCCGTAGTGCTGGGATTACAGACTTGAGCCACCGCGCCCAGCACCGAGCAGAACTCTTGACACAGACTGAGTGCTCACAAATCAGACACAACAGGGATAACGACACCTCCAGCCTCTCAGGCCTACGGGAACAGCCAAGCCTCATGGTGAAGAGCCCAACTCTAGGATTGCCTGGGTTCAAATCTCAACTCTGCCACTTGCAGCTGTGTGACTTTGGACAGGTTACTGAGACTCTCTGAGCCTTAGGTTCTTCCTATGTAAAATGGGAATCATAGCCCCTATCTCACCAAGCTACTGAGAGGATGCCTGAGGATATGAAGGGGACAGGACACAGAAAGCCTCAGCCCTTGTCTGCTGTAAGCTGCACAGCACTGCTGTTACATGTGGCCCTGAGACCTGCTAACTCTGGGGGTAAGATGGGCCTGGTGCAGAGGGAATCCTTAAAATGTGCCAGTGATGACTGACTTGGGAGCCTAGCAGGGTGCCAGCACACAAACACCGATTGGGAAATGACGGTGATGTGTGCTGTCACCTTCATGGGCACCGTGGGCTGCTCCAGACTGGGAGGTGGGGCCCAGAGAGGTGAGTGGGGACTTCCTGCACCCCAGAAGGGGCCGAGCCCCCACGCCGGCAGGATATAGGGGTGGTAGACCCAGAGCGTGTCGTTAAGCCAGTCCATGCCGTTGTCCTGCTGCAGCAGTCGCTCATAGGTGACACACAGGAAGCGGATGTCCTCCTCGTCAATGCCACCATTCCAGATGTCATACAGGATGGTCATCTCTTCAAACTCCGAGCGGGGCCGGAAGAGGGGCTGGGGTGGCGAGAGCTCAGGCGAGCCTGCAGGTGGCACCAGGTCCTCGTGGCGCTTCTTAGGCGGCCGGCGCCATGGCCCCCGACTCTTGGCCAACTCCATGTACTCCTCAGTGACCTCGTCACGCCCACGGGAGCCTGGAGGGATGGCCTCGGAGGGCCACTGGTTGTCTAGCTCCTTGAAGGGCAGCTTGGTGGGCTCTACAGGTGGGGGAGGTGGGGGTGGGGGTGGCTGGGGGGGAAGGGGTGGTGGAGGGGCTGGGATCCCTGCGTTCCGGAAGTCCAGGGTCACCGTCCGGGGGTCATGGGTGCTGGGGAAGACAGGAGTCTGTGGCTGGCCTGGCGGAAGCAGGAGGTCCCTTCCAAAGGCGGCCCCCACTGGCGGCCGGACCAAGGGCCCATCCAAGGAGAGCATAGACGGTGGGGATCGCCGGGGCCGGCCCGGCTTCCTCTTGATAGGGGGTGGGCAAGGGGCCAGGGGGGCGGGCAGCAGGGGTGGCAGCTGGGTGGGGGCCCGAGCCTGGGCCCGCAAGACAGCAGGCAATGCCAAGGGCAAGGGCAGGGGCAGGGGCAGAGGGAGGGACAGGCCCGTCTCCAGGAGCACCGGGGAGGCCAGGGGTCCAGAGCGCTCGTCGCGTCGGCCAGCGGGGAGCGGGCAGACGGGCAGGAGCAGGGGCCTGCTGGGCTCGGGGAAGGTGGGTGTGAAGCTGAAGTCCCGGCCAGGTGTCCGAGGGAGGCCCCCACTGCTGAAGCCAGGGGACGGGGCTGGGTAGGAGAAAGGGCTGCCGGGCACTTGAGGAGAGCTCACGGACAGGCCACTGCTGCCCGCTGATAGCGGGGGCTCCCCGCCTGGTGTGGCTGGCACTGTCTCTGTGCTCTGCGACTTGGCCAGGCTGCCACAGAGGCCTGGAGTACGCGGGGGCTGGTCCTCGGTAGGGGGCTCTGGAGGGACAGATGGGTGTGAGGCGTCTGTGGTCTCAGGCTCCGGCGGTGGACTGGGTGGCCGGGGCGGTCGTGGGGGTGGCAATGGTGGCTGCAGGGGCAAGGGGAGCATCGTAGGGGGCTCCGGCTCTACTTCCAGGTCATGCTCTGCAGAGAGGTAGGCAAACACCAGGCAGTTACCATTCAATCCAAACAGCTCTCAGTGCCCTAGTTAGCGCTCCATACCCGGCTGGCCCACAGCCCTGAGTCTGAGCACGGGACCTGTCTGTCTCCACCTAAACCCTTGAGGACTATTCAGTGCCCGACCCAGTGTCAGGCACACAGTACATGCCAGGCTACATCACAGATGCAGGAGACATGTTTCCCAGCCTTTCACACTACATCTTCAGAACAAAGTCCCTGTGGCCCAAGAAAATTTGCTCTATGACTGAATAAAATTCAACAAGTCTCTTTTCTGCAGGACTTGTCAGAGCCCTCAAGGATTTTTCCCTAGCGCTTACCTCCATTGTCACAGCATACACTTTTTAATTTTTTAATGAATTTGTTTTATATTTTTATTTTTGAGATGGGTGGAATGTGGTGGCATGATCATGATCACTGCAGCCTAGACTGCCAGGGCTCAAGGAATCCTCCCACCCACGCCTCCTGAGTAGCTGGGACTACAGGAATATGTCACCACACCCAGCTAATTTTTAAATGTTTTGTAGAGACAGGGTCTCATGATGTTGCCCAGGCTGGTCTCCAACTTCTGGCCTCAAGTGATCCACCAGCCTTGGCATCCCAAAGTGCTGGAATTACAGATGTGAGCTACCATGCGCAGCCATAGAATATATTTTTTTCATTTTCTATTTTTATATTATTTTATAGTTTACTCTTCTGAGACAGAGTCTCACTCTGTCACCCAGGCTGGAGTGCAATGGCGCAATATCGCTCACTGCAACCTCTGCCTCCTGGGTTTAAGTGATTCTCCTTCCTCCGCTTCCCGAGCAGCTGGGACTACAGGCACGTGCTACCATGCCCTGCTAATTTTTTGTATTTTTAGTAGAGACGGGGTTTTGTCATATGGCCAGGCTGGTCTCAAACTCCTGACCACAGGTGATCTGCCTGCCTCAGCCTCCCACAGCGCCGGGATGACAAGAGTGAGCCCCCGAGCCTGGCCCCTGTTTTTCATTTTCTAATTGATCTGTTGTCATCTCTTCCCCTGCTCTGTGGGAACAGATATTTTTGTCTGTTTGGTCTACTGTTGTATTGCTACTGCCTAAAATAATAGCAGGGACACAATAGACGCTTAATATTGAGTCAATATTCAAAGACGTGGTTAGTGGTGGAATAAACAAAACAAAGTACATTAAACAAAACACAGTCGTCCCTCAATACACGCAGGAAATTGGTTCCAGGACTCCCTGGAATACGAAAATCTGCACATACTCCAAGCCTGTAGTCCGCCTTCAGGGCCATATATAGCAAGTCGCCCTCCATACATGTAGGTTTCACATCCCACTGGTACTTTCTGTCCATGTTTGGTTGAAAATGATCTGCATGTCAGTGGGCCCTAGACGTGTGTTCGGTGTACAGGGGCAGCTGTAATCCCTTTTTTTCCTGAGGAACTTTAATTAAAGGTATGTGCCAACCACATGCGGCTATGTAAGCCACAATAAATCGAACAGTATTACAAATGCAGTTAGAGGGCGGCACTGGCCATTTGGAGAGCTCAGCAGCAACACTGTGTATGAAGGCTACAGAGCTGGTGGCACAGCCCGAGAACGCTGCCATCACTGTGCAAAGTTCTCCTGGCCATGCAGTTAGAGCCTCTCACATGCTCTGCACAGCTTCATCGCAATGCCAGAGGGGGCACTGCCCACAGCCCTCACCTAGCCCAGTACCCCAGGGCCTCCCCCACCCACCTGTCACTAAAGTAACCATGGATACCCATCCTTCTCTTGGGGAGCACCTCATGGGACTGATGGTCCAAGGACCAAGCCAGCAGGGAAACACTGGCGGTGAGGACTGACAGCAGCAGCGGTTCCCCTTTGGGAATCCATGCCGTGCCAGGCTCAGTGCTGGCACCCAACACCTCATCTCACTTGAGGGAGGCGTCACCGACTGATCCCGTTTAACAGGGGAAACCAAGGCTAGGGACAGTCAGCGATCTACCCAAGGAAGCCCAGGCTGATTCTGATGGCGAGGACTTCCCACCACCCTCCCAGGGGGATGCAGGTGTTACCTGGAGCTCGCTCAGGGGACGACGGGGGTCGGGTCTCCACCTCTGTGGCAGGGGGCTCTGGAGACAGCAACATGGCCCCTTCCTGGCTCACACCTGGCTCCTCAGGGGGCTCCCTGGAGTTCACTGGCTCTTCAACACCCACAGGCAAGGGGGGCTCATCCAGGATGGGGGGCCGCTCCTCAGGGGCCACAGCCTCAGTCTCGATGTTCACCTCCTCTTCCATGCCCAACGAGTCCATTGCCGGTGCCCCCGGGGCCACAGTCACTTCCTCCCCATCCCGCTCAAAGTCCTCGGGGCCTGCAGAAGCCATGCTCTCATCTGCCACCATTGCCTCGTCCTCCTCTTCCTCTTCTTCCTCTTCCCTGGCCACTACCTCCTCTTCATCCTCTGAGGATGAGGGCGAGGACTCGGAGCTTGACTCAAATTCGGAAGACTCAGAACTCTCACTGGACGATGTGGCTTCAGCCTTGGAGGTTGTGATGCTTACCGTCTCCTCTGGATGGGGGACACAGAGGAGGGGCTGCCTGAGGACCACTGTGCCCCAGCCCCGCCCAGACCCCTCACCAGTGGCCTCAGGCTGAACATGGCCCTCAGATGTGTGTGTGGCGTGTATTCACTAGCAGGCATTTTTTTTTAAGGTGGAGTTTTGCTCTTGTTGCTCAGGCTGGAGTTCAGTGGCACAATCTCGGCTCACTGCAACCTCCACTTCCCAAGTTCAAGCGATTCTTCCCGCCTCAGCCTCCCGAGTAGCTGGGATAACAGCACGCGCCACCACACCTGGCTAATTTTATATTTTTAGTGGGGACAGGGTTTCGCCATGTTGGCCAGGCTGGTTTCAAACTCCTGACCTCCGGTGATCCACTTGCCTCAGCCTCCCAAAGTGCTGGGATTACAGGCGTGAGAGCATTGTACTCAGCTGCTAGTAGTAGTTTTTAAAAATTGAGGTAAAATTGACTTAATAGAAAACTCCTCACTTTTTAAAAAAAAATTATTACTATTTTTTTTGAGGGTGAAGTATCACTCTGTCACCCAGGCTGGAGTGCAATGGTGCAATCTCGACTCACTGCAACCTCTGCCTCCCAGGTTCAAGTGATTCTCCTGCCTCAGCCTCCCAAGTAGCTGGGATTACAGGCACCTGCCACCACACTCGGCTAATTTTTGTATTTTTAGTAGAGACGGAGTTTCACCATGTTGGCCAGGCTGGTCTTGAACTCCTGACCTCAGGTGATCCTCCCGCCTTGGCCGCCCAAAGTGCTGGGATTACAGGTGTGAGCCACTGTGCCTGGCCAGAGGCTCGTTTTACAGTGACCACTCCAGCATCATTTCGTACATTTGTAATGTTGTACAACCACCACCTCTATCTGGTCCCTAAATATTTTCAGCAGGGGCCGGGAGTGGTGGCTCACGCCTGTAATCCCAGCATTTTGGGAGGCTGAGGCGGGTGGATCACGAGGTCAAGAGATTGAGACCATCCTGGTCAACACGGTGAAACCCCGTCTCTACTAAAAATACAAAAAATTAGCTGGGCATGGTGGCGCGTGCCTGTAATCCCAGCTACTCAGGAGGTTGAGGCAGGAGAATTGCCTGAACCCAGGAGGCGGAGGTTGCGGTGAGCCGAGATTGCACCATTGCACTCCAGCCTGGGTAACATGAGTGAAACTCCGTCTCAAAAAAAAATAAAAATAAAAAATAAAATAAAATAAAATAAAATAAAAATATTTTCAGCAGCTGAAAAGGAAGCCACATAGGCTGAGCAGGCGCCCCCACAGCGGACTCCCATCCCTGAGGACCACGGACCTGCTTTCTGTCTCTATGGATGTGCCATTCTGTTCAGGACACTCCCTGAGGATGGAATCATACACCACCCTGTTTGTGTGTTTTAATAAGGTAAGGTCTCAAAAGCACAACATTTTGCCTCAAAAGTATTTCTGACAATTGCTGAGGCTTTGCCCCAGGGAAGGAGGGACCCTGGGAAGGCCAGGTGGCCTCGGCCTCCCTGCTCACCTCCATCCGAGTCCCCTTCGTCCTTCTCACTCGCCTCTGACAGGGCTGTGTCTTCGTCATCGTTCTCAGACTCATCCTGGTCATCGCTGTCATCATCATCATCCTGGGGGAGACGGACAGGTGGGGACAGATGAGCTGAAGGGCCTGGCCCTTGTTGCCTAGCCCAGCCCCCTGAGGCCTCCTGGCCTGCTAGGTACCTTATCTGATGTGGATGAGGTCGAGGAGGAGGACAGCTGGCTCCTGGGGCCTTCCTCCTCCTCCTCCTCTTCCTCTTCCGCCTCCTCTTCCTCCTCAGTGCTCTCCTGTTCCTCCTCCTTGTCAGAGGCCGAGGATGAGGGTGAGGTGGTTGAGGAGCCCGAGGATGAGGACGCCGATGAAGATGAGGACACCGACAAGGATTCCTTCTCATCCTCCTCCCCACCGCTGTCCAGCTCAAGAGGCCGTGCTGGCCGCCGCCGCACACCCACACTCTTGGGGTCCCGCTTGGCAAGCTCACAGGGGGTGTCTGCCATGTCCCGGTCCCGCTCCCGCTCGGACTCTGCGGAAAGGGAGGGAGTCAGAGCTGGGCCGTGGGGCATGTGGAAGAACAGGACCCCAGCACCCAGAGCGCCAACCTTCATCTTCCTCATCCACAGAGGTGGAGGGCCGCAGCCGCTTCTGGTCGCCAGACGAGGTGGTGTCTGGTGGCTCCTTCCTCTTGACCTTGAAGGAGGGCAGGCGAATGGCCCCGCGCAAGCCGATGCCCAAGCCCAGGCCCTCGTAGCCCAGGCCCTCGCCCTTGCCCCATGACTCCAGTAGGCACGAGGCAATGCGGTCCTTAGGCTTCGGCCTATCCTCGTCCTTGTGCTCGCCTGACTTCACGGGGGTCAGTGAGGCCTGGAGTGGAGACAGGAAGGCACCGTCACCGGTTCTGACACCACCAGCCCTTGCAGGGAGCCCTCCCCAGGACAGCTGCCTTCCACTCGGCAGTAACAGCCACCCCAGGTAACTGCGTCCTCACTCCCGACACACCCAGCCACACTCTGCTGTAAGTTACCCAGGAGGTTCCAGAGCACCGCTCGGCTGCACAGATCCTCAACGTCCTCCCCTGGAAAATGGGACTACTGCCACTGCCTTCCTCACAACAGTGGCCTTTGCACTTTGCAGACTGAGTTCCAAACACTACACCACAGGGACATATCTGTGCCACAGCGGCAACGCCACCCTCACAAGGTAAGACTGACACCATCCCACCTTCTCTTCTCTTCTGTTCCCAGGCATTACAAAGTTACCTACTGGCTTGATTTCACTGCCTGCTAAGGGTTGCCCCTGTAGTTCTGAAATGCTCTGCCCTCAAAGGGATGCTGTGAGAATTAACAAAATGACCCACAGTAAGAGCTCTGCAAGGTGCAGGGCACCTGAGGCCAGTGGCTCTTTTTATTCAAATTGCGAGTGGCATTGCTATTAGCTGTTACTGTAGGGTCAGTATAATTTGGCCATACCATAAAGAGCTGTGTTTCAGTGATTTCAGAGGGTTCATTCTAATCTTACTGCCCAGTTATTCGGATAACAAACAGGCTCTGACAGGTGCCGCCTACCTGCAGCTGCAGAGAGCAAGCAATTCCCTAAGCATGCTCCAGGGGACACTAAAACTCACAACCAAGGTCACCCCTGGGGGGAGGGAGCAGGGGGGAATAGGTGGAGGGGAGTGATTGAGGGGAGTTTAAAGTATTGAAGAAAAAGTTCTCTCTTATGGAGAAAGGAAGTAATTTTAGTTTATTTGTAAGATTAGCAACAGGCAAATAATATGTTAAAAAGGAAAAAAAAGGCCAGGCATCATGACTCACACCTGTAATCCCAGCACTCTGGGAGGCTGAATCAGGGAGATCACTTAAGGTCAGGAGTGCAAGACCAGCCTGGCCAACACAGTGAAACCCTGTTTCTACTAAACACATAAAAATTAGCCAGGCATGGTTGTCGGTGCATATAGTCCCAGCTACTCAAGACACCGAGGCAGGAGAATCGCTTGAACCCCAGGAGGTGAAGGCTGCAGTGGGCTGAGAACACGCCATCGCACTCCAAAAAACGGAAAAAAGGAAGCAGGCCAGGAGCAGTGGCTCATGCATATAATCCCAGCCCAAAAGGCAGAGGATCACTTGAGCCCAGGAGTTCAAGACTAGGCTGGACAACATGGCGAAACTCTATCTCTACAGAAAAATACAAAAATTAGCTGAGTGTGGTGGTGCATGCCTGTAGTCCCAGCTACTTGGGAGGCTGAGGTGGGAGGATCCCTTGAGCACAGGGAGGTTGAGGTGTAGTGAGCTATGATTGCGCCGCTACACTCCAGCCTGGATGATACAGTGAGACCGTGACTCAAAAAAAAAAAAGGGTGGGGGGAATGGTCGAAGCCAAGACAGGGCTGCCTCTAAAAGGTGGCATGAGGGGAGGTGAGAGTAGCCAGGTTCAAAGGGCGTCACAGCTGTGAGCCGTCTGCAATGGTGAGACCAGTCTGCACCAGCTGTCATGTATGTGGCCACTATGCACCTGTGGCTACTGGGCACTTGAAGTGTGGCATGTGTCAAAAAGAAGTTTTAAATTTTACTGTTCAAATTAACAGAGTAAAATTTAAATTAATTTAAATTAATTTACATATTTATTTTCAAAAATGGACTCTTACTATGTTGAGCTCCTAGGCTCAAGCAATCCTCCCACCTCAACCTCCCAAAGTGCTGGGATTACAGGTGTGAGCCACCTCGCGGGGCTGTTAATTTAAACTGAGAGCCTCGTGCAGCTAGTGGCCACTGAATGGGAGCACAGTTTGCAGAACTTTGAAAGTGGCCACATGAATGCAGCTCCTACACTGGGGGTTTGCAGCAGCGTTTCCAGTTAACAGTCTCAGGGGAAGAGCAGGTGCCTAGCTGGGGTCCTGCCCCCCTCCGTTGCCATCCTGGGGGGCCCTGCACCCACCCACCTTGGCCATCCGCTCCTTCTTGTCCCACCACTCGTCGAAGGCCCGGAAAGCCACCACTTCTACCATCTTGCGGTTCAGGTCCCGCTTCATGATGGCCTTGAGCTCCTTTAGGACCACCAGCAGGACGCCATCCACTGTGGCCTTGTGCGGGTCCTCCTGGCGGGGCACATAGCCTGGCGGAGGCACTGATGGGTCAAACTTGGGCAGTGGTGGCCAGTGCTGCCCGCGGCCTGGGCCGGAGTTGCTCAGGGAGAAGGGGCCCCGGTAGGGCGGCAGGTTGACAAACTGGAGCCCGGCTGAGGCAGCAGCAGCCGCGGCGGCCATGAAGGGCGGGTAGGGGCAGGCGCCCTGGCCTGTCATCAGCCGGCTGAGCACCTGCGTTTGCATCTGGAAGGACATGGGCATGCCGCCCCACTGGCCACCCAGCACGTGGCTCATGTCCACCTGCATCACAGGGAACAGGCCTGGCGGAAAGGGGGGCAGTGGCGGCAGGATGGGTGGGGGTGGGACTCCAGGTGGTGCCGGCAGGGGTGGTGGGGGCACTGTCACAGCAGGGTGGGCTGGAGGTGGTGGGGGTGGGGGTGGGGGCAGAGGTGGGGGCATGGGGAAGCCAGGCTGCGGTGGGGGCGGTGGTGGGGGTGGGGGCAGCGGGGGGAAGCCAGGTGGTGGGGGCAGCGGCAGGGTTGGGGCCAGCACGGAAGGGGCTGCCACAGCCCCCCCTCCTGGGGTCACCACCATAGGCTTGGGGCAGTCGGCACTGGTGATGGGGGCCGAGGGCATCTCGTCATCCGAGATCTCCATGTCCTCGCCTGAGGACTGCTGGCCCTGCAGAGAGAGAAGGGAGAGACAGTGAGGTGAGTCTGTGGGGCCAAACACTCCTAGAGCCCCTCCTGTAAGACTAGCGATCAGCGGCACTCCCGCTGCGTGACCCCGTTCGAGTCCTTCAGCCTCTCCAAGCCTCAGCATCTTCTTTTGCAAAATGGGCATCACAGTCCCTGCCTCGTGGAGTTGCCACTAGGATTCATTCATTCCAATTCAAAAAACATTTGCCCAGTACCTGTATGCCAGGCACTGGACTGGGTGCTGGGGAGACAGAGGTGACCAGGCAGAGAACAATCTCACTCCCATGGAGCTGGACCAGCAGGAAGATGCGGATGAAGATGGGAAAGGTGAGGGACAGAAAGCAGGCAGGGAGAGGGGTGGGGCACAGGGCATGAGACTGTTGCAGTTCGAGAGATTCTGTTGCAATTTGTATGCAGACAAGATAACACGAATAGTTACCATTTCCAGAGTGTCTCTTAGGTGCCAGGGCCTTTGGAGTCTTGCTCTGTTGCCCAGGCTGGAGTGCAATGGCGCGATCTCGGCTCACTGCAACCTCCGCATCTTGGGTCCAAGCGATTCTCCTGCCTCAGCCTCCCAAGTAGCTGGGACTACAGGCATGTGCCACCATGCCCAGTTAATTTTTATATTTTTAGTAGACACAGGGTTTCACTGTGTTTGCCAGGATGGTCTTGAACTCCTGACCTTGTGATCCGCCTGCCTCAGCCTCCCAAAGTGCTGGAATCACAGGCATGAGCCACCGTGCCCAGCCGCCAGGGCCCTTCCAAACACTTCACATTTATTAACTCAGCTAATCCTCAGAATAGCCCTATATTTAACTCCATTTTGTCCCACAAGGAAATTGGGACAGAAAATTTCAGTAACCTGCCCAAGGCCACACAGCCCACAATAGACGGAGCCGGGATTTGAACCAGGAAGCAGTTCCTCAGCCTATGCTCTGTCAGCCTGCTGTCCTCACTCCGCGGCAGATGGCCAGGCAGGGAAGGTGACATTGGGTTTGGGATGCCTGTGTGTGTGTGTGTGGGTGGGTGTGGGGGTGGGGGGGGGGGGGGGGGGGGGGGGGGGGGGGGGGGGGGGGGGGGGGGGGGGGGGGGGGGTGGGGGGGGTTTAAGCAGGGCTAAGGCCATAAACAGGAAGCGTGCTGTTATTTATTTTTCCTTGATTACTCTTTTCACCTAGTCTCATGACTGCACGCTCAGTATGGGCCCAGTGGGGCTAAGTGCTTAAGACGGCCGTCTCATTTCTTATCCGAAAGATAATCTCATAGGGCGGGGGGCTCTGTCCGACCCCCGGACAGTGAGGAAACACGCTCAGAGCTCAGAGCCGGGGCCCCGCGGCACAACCAGTCAGGACCGGCATGCCCAGTGCAGGGCTGCAGCTGGGACCCAGGGAAGTGGTGAGGGGCGAATGTGGGAGGTGTCAAGGATGAGCGTGGGGCTTTAGGGAGCTGAGTAGAAAGGCCTGGAACTGGAGTGGGGGTGGAGGTGGGGTCTGTACAAGTTGCAAGAGCAGGTCTGACTACAGGAGAGGAAGCCTCAAAGGGAAACTGGAGGTCGGGGGAGGAGGAGGAATACCAAAACTCAGGCAGCGGCAGGAAGGTCTGGACTTTACCATGTCCCCTCCGTGAACACACACGCGCGCACACACACACACGCACACACTCTCCTTCTCAGGGTCCCCATGCACATGAAGAAGAGAAGAGACAGGCAGGCTAGGCGGGATCCTCAAACAGCAAGCACTCCCCAGATCAGTCCTGGACAGCGCCGAGCATAGCGCGCCGCGGCACGCAGAGGGTTAACCCGGGCTGCCGTCGCCAGCCAATCACAGGAGGCGGATCCTGCGCTCCGGCCCCGCTGGCCCTGCCCCTCCCTCCGCCCCCCGGTCCTGGGGTGAGAAGCGGCAGGAATTTGCTGAGCACTGGACACCCAGTAGGCCTGGCGGTGCCCGGAGCATCCCTTGCAGGACCTCACTTAAGCCGTGCTGCAGGGACTCTCACGGGTCCATTTGGCAGATGACGAAACTGAGACTCAGACAGGGAAAGTGCCTTCCCCAGGGTCACATAAGCAGTAAGTGACTGAGCAGGGCCTCACGGCTCAAGGACTTGAGCCTGAACTTTTAACCACCAGCCACTGTTTAGAAGAAAAGCTCGCCCTGCGCCCCCGGCGGTCCCCGCCGGGGCCGCTGCCCCACCTCAACCTCAGCCTAGGCTGGGACAGGGTCCAACTCCTCGCACTGAGCTCGCCCGCAGGAAGCCCAGGCGCTGCTCTCCGGCGCCGGCAGGGGGCACCCGCGGGCCAGCCTGGAGCTTCCCAGCAGGCGGCGGCTCCCTGCGCTGGCGGCCGGTCCCAGACCCCAGCTCCTAGGACCTCAGCCTCAGCCTGCCTTTCGCTCCAGCCACTCCGGGCCTCTCAGCCGTGGACCGTGGTCAGCATGGTAAACACTCCCCACCCCAGGCAGCCTGGAGGGAGTGGAGGAGGAGGGTGCCAGGGCTGGGGGCCCTCCTATGGCTGCACACCTGTCAACGCCCCCTGCCTGGACCCCATGATACTAGAAACCACTTCCCCAGAACTGCCTGGAGGCCCCCTGGAGCGCCAGCCACCTGCAGCACCCTCCCAGGCAAGCCAAGTTCCTCTCGTTCCTCCCTGAGGCAGCCAGACTCGCCTAATCAAAGGGCCCAGGAAGGGGGAGTCCTCCCCCTCCGCCCACAGGGACACAGAGCTCTAAACCCCTGGCTGCCCTTGCCCACAGGGGATATGGCTCCAAGGCAGGTGGGTGCCTGGACTGGGATAGAGGAGTGGAGCCAAGGAAGATGACCCAACCCCCTCCCAAAGGAACCTGGCACGTGGCAACCCTCACCCTAACCCCTGGGTGGGACTTCCTGAGGCTGGAGGTTTAGGCAATGAGACCCCAAGAGGTGAGGAGAGAGTGGAGGATTGTCAACTTTGCCTGTTTCTGGCGACATGGCACCCCGCCACCCACTCCAAGTTAGTTTTTTTTTTTTTTTAATTTAAAGATGGGGTTTCACCTTGATGGCCAGGCTGGTCTTGAACTCCTGACCTCAGGTGATCCACCCACCTCGGCCTCCCAAAGTGCTAGGATTACAGGCCTGAGCCACCGTGCCCGGCCCCCAATTAGCTCTTAACTCCTTCATCCCTGGAGCCAGTGAGAGAAGGGAAACTTCAGCACCTTTCCTGCCTGCCATGGTTTCCCCCTCTTGAGAGGGCACCAGGCTCTAAGAGACAGTGCTCCAGGGCTCCACCCCACCTAGCCCAGCACAGAACTCTGGCCAATCCCTCTCCTCCCCTCTGCCTGTGCACCAGGACCCTCACTGACCATTCCCAAGCCATGCATGCAACAGACAAGGGACCAGGAGCCATCCCCACAGCTCATACTCTCTGAAGTCTCAGCAAACTCCTACCCAAGAGGCTCAGGTCATAATTTATCCCTAGGATAAGTAAACTTTTTTTTTTTTTTTTTTTGAGATGGAGTCTCGTTCTGTCACCCAGGCTGGAGTGCAGTGGCGCGATCTTGGCTCACCACAACCTCCAGGGCTCAAGCGATTCTCCTGCCTCAGCCTCCTGAGTAGCTGGGATTACAGGCGTGCATCACCATGCCCATGTAATTTTTGTATTTTTAGTAGTGACAGGGTCTCACCATGTTGGTCAGGCTGATCTTGAACTCCTAACCTCGTGATCCACCTGCCCCAGCCTCCCAAAGTGCTGGGATTACAGGCGTGAGCCACCACGCCCGGCCAAAGTTGACTTCTTGCCTAACAAGGAGAGCATCAGAACTGGGCCATGTTTTCCTTCTCTCCGTGGCTGCTAGGGAGCTCATTGCCAAACCAGCTGCTCAATCATAGCCCCTGGGGTTTTTTGCATCACCTTTTTATTCTCTAAGTTCTACCTGTTATATTGGCTTTCCTAGCCCCATTGCTTCTGCATCTTAGTCATGCTAAATGCTTCAAGGGGGAAAGGGAGATACAAGATGGACAAAACCAGTCCCAGACAGATGGACAGACATGGTGGTACCTCATCCATCTTCTCTGAGGTCGGGGTTCTGTCTCCAACCAGGTCCAAGGCCACCTCAGCTGTCTGGCCCAGAAGTCCAGCAGGGTCCGGGGGGCCGGGCTCGGGTGGAGGCCGAGGCCCAAGGCTCAGGTTGAGCTCCTCATCCTCGTCAGAGTCTGGCAGAGGCGTTGGGCTGATGTCCTCCAGGCCAGTGCTGGAGGGGCGCGAGGAGGGGGGCGTGGGGCCTCGGAAGCCGGGCTGGGAGTTGGTGCCGAAGGGGGCCAGCGGGGAGAGCTGGGAGGAGGAGGAGGAGATGGGGCTGCCCTCCATCTGCAGCTCAGTGTCCGAGTCGGGCACCGGCAGGAAGAGCAGCTTGGTGCGCTGCTCCTTCAGCAGCATCTCGATGCGCGAGTCCAGGCTGTCGTGGGGCTTCTCCGGCCCCGCAGGGGACGACTCCAGCGTGGGCGTGCCGGGGCTGTCGCAGGGCTCGGGACTCCAGCCGAAGGTGGGCCGGCCGCCTAGCTCCATGCTGTTGGTGTCGGGAGGCGGTGGGCCAGGGGGTGTGCCTGGCTTCTCCTTGGCCAGAGGCTCAGCAGGTGGCAGGGGTGGGGGTGCCGGTGCCCTCCGGAACTCCCCGCCATCACGGGCCCCGAAGGCGGTGGTGGTAGTCGGCTCTTCTGGGGGTGGAGGGAAGTGGGCCACTGGGGTCTGATAGGGAGAGAAAGCAGACTTGAATCCAGGAGCTGGGGTTGCCTGGGCCGGCGGTGGAGTGTGGGCAAATGTGGCCGAATCCTGTGGTTGGGCCTTGAAGGGGGGACCGCTGCTGCCCCCAGTGCTGCTGACTGCTCCAAATGGGAGGTCTGAGGAACCCCGGAAGGCGGCTGTGGCCCCGGCCACTGCAGTGACCGCGGGAGAGGTGTGGACATAATGATGTTCGTGGCGGCGGTTGTAGGCGTCCGTGAACTTGCTCTCGTGGCGCCGGGCCTTGAAGGTCACTGTAGGGTCCTGGCTGAAGAGGTATGAGGGTGTGGGCTGGCGGCTGGAGTAGCTGGAGTCCTGTGAGAAGGGGGTGCCCAGGCGCGGCGTGAGCGGGGTGCCCTGTCCGTAGGAGTTGGGTGTGTCCAGGCGGCAGCTGGAGTAAGCCGTGTCCTGGGAAAAAGGTGTCCCACCGCTATTGGGGGTGACAGAGGAGGAGCCAGAGCCACAGCCTGCAGACAGGCCTCCATCCTTGAGGCGCTTCAGGGCATCTGACAGCTAAGGAGAGAAAGAGAAGTGAGATCCCTTTCTCTAGGGAGGCGGGGCGGTGTGTTTCCTTTCTCACTCTGGCTGCTGGCCCGCTGAGAGCCAAACTGCTCTACAACTGCAGCATAAAGAATGGGAGTAGGGGGATTGAGGAGGAGTGTCAGGATGGTACTAACTTTTTCTCTTATCTTAGGGGTAACCAATTACGTTCAGGGAAACTTGAAGGTTTTTCCAAATCCCAGAGGAGCTAGAGAAGAGAGAAGTCTATGACATCTGGGTTTAGGCTGGGATTTTCTTTGCCTCTGGCTGTCAGAAATCAGACCTTCCAGGCAGGATTATGACCAAGAACTATCTTGTGCCTGAGAGGATGGCCAAGGGCTTTGTCCTCCCAGCCACCCAATGTTTTAGGATTTAAAGTGACAAACTGAGGCCAGGGCCAGGTGTGGTAGCTCACGCCTGTAATCCCAGCACTTTGGGAGTCCAAGGTGGGTGGATCACTTGAGGTCAGGAGTTCAAGACCAGCCTGGCCAACATGGTGAAACCCCATCTCTACTAGAAATACAAAAATCAGCCAGGTGTGATGGTGTGTGCCTATAATCCCAGCTACTCAGGGGGCTGAGGCATGAGAATCACTTGAGCCCAGGAGGCAGAGGTTGTAGTGAGCCAAGATCACGCCACTGCACTCTAGCCTGGGGGACGAGTGAGACTCTCTCAAAATAAAAAAATAAAAATAAAGTGATGAACAGGCCAGCGACAGCTAGTCGGCAAAGGCTCTTCAGTCCCGAGGTGACTGGATTGATGCCCAATGCCAGGGAGGAGCTGGCATGAGACTCGCCCCACACAAGAGTTGTCCCAAGTCCTGGGAGGCAGTGGTTTGGAAGGAGGCAGTCTTTCTCTGGAAGGTGGGGCATGAACTCCAGTTTCTGGGTTTGGGGTAGTGGCGTACCCAGGACACCAGACACTAAGGACCCTGGAAACAGCAATGTTTTGGCATCAACACGGAAAAGTGAGCCCGGGCAGGCTCTGGGTCTGTGGGAGTTGAAGCCTGTGCTGGGGAGGGGGGATGCTACAGGAAACAGGACCAATCCCAGGGAGCCCCATTGCAGAAGGGCTTGGGGGGCGTGGCCAGGCTTTACAACCTCCTAGGTCTTGGTCTCCAAAGCTGGAGAGAGAGAGGTGGGGTGGGCTGGGGGTCCCATCAGAGTTGGTGAGGGTTTCCAGAGGTGAGGGGCACATCAGAGCACTGGCAATGGGGCAGACTGACAGCATAAACCCACCTGCAGGGTCTCATTCACAATTGGAGAGACAGCATCCAGCTCCCCCACTGGGAGGGTCTGCGGGGTGTAACGGCCAGTGACCAACAGTTCATAGAACCGCATTCGGGTTTCCCCTGTGGATGGGCAGGAAAGAGGTGACTCAGTGAGGTTCCAGGACAGGGCGGCCCCCACAGGGATTCCAACCTGCATGGCACCCTGGTGGGTCCCTTGGGCCTGAGACGCCAGGCCTGGGGAGGCTGTGTGACCCTTACCGAGTTCCTGCCCCCTCTGGATTTCACTCAGGGTCCCCACCTGTTCAAGAAAGCTGCTGAGCTGCACCATTTTTCTGATCCTGAGATCCAGAAGCTAATGCCTCCTGGGGCTGAGACTCCTCCCAACCCAAACCCAAAACTGCTACCCGTGACACCAACCCCCATTCCACTACCTGGGCCATGGTGCCCAAAGAAAGAGCCAAGCCTATCCCCTTTCTGCTCAACAGCCAGGTGCTTGCAGCAAGAGGAGGGGAAGCCCGTGGCAAAGAAGCCAGAGTTTGTAAATATCTGGGGCCAGGTGAGCAGTGGACTTTGCAACACACTCTAGGAGCACATTACTGTGAAAGCCACAGCTCCTGACCAGGCTGAGGGCCTCAAGGAGGCCGGGGGACTACCTTGAGCTCCAACCCTCCACCCCTCAGCAGAGGGAGGCTTTTCTAGACCAGGGCCCGGGGGTTATCGATATTTATAGAGCCTCAGAGGCAGCTGCTTACATATGCAAAAAAGACACGTTCCTGGAGCTACACTTTACTGGTCTCTTTCTTGAAATACAAACTTAGTTAGCAGTCTCTGAGAGCTTTTGTGTTTTCTTTTTTTTTCCCCCCAGAAATGAAATTTTGTTGAGACCTGGCTGCTGCTTAAAATATGGGCCTGTGATGGGGAAGGGGGTACCACATTCAATTCAGTTATCAGGGAGAAATCAGACTGCAGCCACCCAAGGTCCCCACTGTCCCCCAACCCCCAGAGACTGAGAGGCTAGGGAAAGGGGTGGGAGGGCTGTGCCCTGAGAGGAGACACAGGACCAGGCACAGGCTCAGCAAGTGTGCGTGGAATAATCACCACCACCCCGGCACTGGCTTAGAGCTTGGTCAATACATTTTAATCATTAAACGCAAAAAAAAAAAGAAAAGTTCTGATTTTCCTGCCTTGGGTTTGGTGTGTCCCAGTTGTCCCTGAACCCCACGATCACGAAATTCCTGGAAGCTGCACTTTCGCCCTCCCAGCATGGCTTCCCAAGGGACCCTGGTGGGCTAGGGACCCAGTGTTTCCCCACAGGGCTGGCTGATCCTCAGAGCACTCAGCGCCTTCTTTTATTGGTGGGAGCTTCCCTAGAGAGGCATCAGGCACACTTAGGGGAATGCCCTGGAGTCCTGCAAGCCTGTCGGTCCTGCAGGCGCCTCTGCAGACCCATAGGGTGGGAGGTGTGGCCTCCCCAGCCAGCACCAGAGAACACCCAGCTGATTCCAGTGCAGGGGAGGTGCTGCGGTCTCTTTAAGAGAGAGGTGGGAAGACAGTGTCAACCCTGAAGCACCCTGAGCCTCCCGCCCCTCTCTTCCCAGCTCAATCAGGAACCTTATCAATGAAACAACACTCCTGGCCCCAGATTGGCTCCCACTTCCAGGGGGAAGGGGCAGCAAGGGAGGGAGGGGGGCACCTTGAATCGTTAGAGGACTCTTTTTAGTTTCCAGACCTTCTCTTGACGTATTTAAAGGCGTTCTAGTGGCACTCCCTCAGTCCCCCACAAGTAAACAAATTCTGCCTCATCCCCTAACACAGGCAACACTGGGGACTGTCTAAACCCAGGCCACCAGGGCTCAGAGAGGGGGCCCGAGGGGGTGACAGCGGTGGGGAAGCCTCCGGGTGGTCCCTAGGGGTGCGGTGGCCAAGGACCGGAACATTTGGTAAATTACAGACCGTCTCCTAGCAACAGACAACACATTTAGCTCCACTACTCTACCCTCAGGAGGGGGGGGCAAAAAAATAAGGTTTTCGAGGGGATCCCAAAGAAGAGTGGGGGGTCCTCCCCACGCTGCAGAAGGGGGCGGGGAGGAAAAGGGTCCAGCTGACAGGTATCCCCTCACTCCTCCCCTGCCAGGCCCACCTTTGGTGTCCAGCTCCACGTGGATAATGTTGCCCATGACGGAAGTGCTGTGCAAGTGCTGAACGGCCTCCTTGGCACCCCGGACGGTGGCAAAGACCACCTTGGCAATGCCGAGGTGCTTCTTGGTCTTGGGGTTGTACAAAATCTCCACCTCTTCCACCTCCCCATACTTCTTGCACATATCCCTTAGGAAGTTTTCTCGGATGTTATCATTCAGCTTGGCAAATGTCACCTGCTTCGGAGGCACCGGGCCCACGTAGAACTCATCGATCTGGCAGGGGCCGAGGGGGAAGGGAGTTTGGAGAACGTTTAAACCGAAGAGAAAACCCAACATTCCTCCAACACCTCGCCCGCCCGTTGAAAACAATGAAGGGTAAAAAACTAAAAAAAAAAAAAAAAAAATTTTTTTTGGAAAAAAAAAAATGCACGCGGGCGGGCCCGGGAAGCGGAGGATTAAATCGTTTGGAACGTGGAAGTCCTCTGGGTTCGGAAGGAAAGGGGAAAAAGAAACAGTTTCTCTTTCCCCACCCCCCATTCTGGCCTCCTCTTCCTGCTGCCGGGTCAGGGGCGACCCTTTGGGCTTAGGAAGTTGTCCCTCTAAAGGCAGGGGGCTGGCGAGAGGGGAGGGTCTCGGGGCCAAGCTCCCGAGAGGGCTGAAGCCCCCCGCGGGGCGTGCGGGACACTGTGACCGCGCCGTGATTACAGTTTCACCCACTGTTATTTTGTTTACAGTAGCTGCGACGGGACACCCTCTCGCCAGCGCTCTCCCCCTCCCCGCCAAAACTTCCCCGGCCCCGGACGGCGGGAACCGGGAATCCGGCTGGGCTCGGTCTGGACTGGCGTTATTTTCGAACTCCGGGAGGGGAGGGGGGACGACGGGGCAGTGGGGAGGGGTCCTACTTTGAATTTGGGCACCGACAGCTCCAGCTCCTTGTTTTTGGTCCAGATCCCGACGACCCGGGGATCTTCGACAATTTCCACCGGGCGGTTACTGGACATCTGCGGGGAGAAATTGGGAGGGACGGGATGGGAGGGCTGTCCCCCTCCCCAGGGGCAGACCCCTTTCTCCAGGCACTTGTCAAACTCCAGGGATGGGGCCCTGTCTGACAGTTGGCCGGGTGGTCCGGCGGGGGTCCCTGGCCGCTCCGCGCGTCTCCCCGGACGCGGCGGAGGGGGGCGGGGGGCGCGCCGGCTACTCACCGCCAGGCTGAAATGCTGCCCATCGTAGCGGTACAGTTTATGATGCCCCTTTTTCAGAGCCGGGTCAATCATCAACTTGTAACTTCTCCAATGGTGGTTCCTCCTCTCGCCCGAAGGGCCGGGCTGCGGCGGGGGCTGCTGGTGGTGGTGGTGGGGGGGGTGACTGTTCTCCATGCCGTTAACCCAACCTGAAAACCAGCAAGTTGTTGTCGTCTCCGCCGCGGCAGCGGCGGCTGCTTCTACACACACGCGAAACAATCCAATCGGCCGGCCCCCACCCCCTCCCACCTTACCAGCGCGCCCCGAAAGGAGCTGTCTCGCTGGCTCCCCCCAAAACAAGAATGGAGCGAGAGAATAACCCTTCCGGGAGAATTACGCGCCCGCCCGCTCGGCCACCGTCTCGGGGCGGCAGCGAGGGGCTCCCGGGGGTCCCCGGGGCGGGCTGGCGGGGCCCCGGGCGCCCGGAGGACGCGAGCTCCGGCCCATGGTGCCCGCCCGGCCACCCGGCGTGGCGCTCGCCCGTTCGCTCGGCCTGGCTCGGGCGCGGGGCTGGCGGCAGGGCCTGGCGCCGCCGCCGCCGCCCGCCCGCCCGCCCGGGCCAGAGCCGGGGCCGGGGGCTCGGGCCGCCCGGCTGCCGGCTGCGGCCTCTCCCTCCCCGAGCCGCGCTTACATCCCCGCCGGGCGCCGGCCTCCCTGCGCCGCCAGCCAGTACATGGTGTCCCCCGCGGGAGCCGAGGCCGGGGCGGCCGGACCGGGGGCCGGGAGGGGGGGGCGCCGCCGCCGCCGCGGCTGCCGGGCCCGGAGCTGCTGCCGCTGCCGCCGCCGCTGCTGCTGCTGCTGCTGCCCGGGAGGCGGCTGGCGGCGGAGGCTCGGCTCCCAGTAGCCGCACATCCCACAATACACCGCTAAGGAGCCCGACCCGAGCGCTCACCCTCCTCCTCTTCCTCCTCCTCCTCCTCTTCCTCCTCCCCTCTCCTTCCTCGCCGCTTCCCCAGGCACTCTCCCGGCGGCGGCAGCTGCGCCGCCAAAGCCCCAGGCCCCAGCGGCCCCCCACCCCTCACTCGCGCGCTCCCACACTGCCTCCCCCTCCCCGGGGGAAGGCCTTTTAATTTATTTATTCTTCTGGGACTGGGGTGGGGGTCTTGGCTGGCGGGGGAGGGGGTCTCCCCGGGCTCTACCTCCCGCGGCCGGGGCTACCCTCCGAGCCGCGGCCGCCGCGGCGTGCGTCCCAAGCCTGCAAAACTGTTTCCAAACTGCCCGGGCCGGAGGAAGGCGCGCGGGGACCCGGGGAGAGGGCAGGGGTCTGGGGGGCCGAGGGTTTGTGTGGACGCGGGGAGCCGCGCGGGGAGGCCGGCGTCGACTCGGAGGAGTTGCAATCGAGGTATCTGCGCTTCGGCTTCCTCCTCCGGCCGCGACCCCCTCCCCGGAGCTAAGCTGGGGAGGGGAGAACAGGGTTCACCACGTTAGCATTCGCATTCCTGGGAGGATGCAGCCCTCGCCTGGACCTGGGCGATAGAAGCTTTCTTCTGTTTTTATTTTTGGAGGGGAGCGCCCTGTAATTGTCCTGAACACATGCTTCCCCCCCACCTCCAGCCACCCGCGGAGGAGAGAGTCCCCCTTTTTTGCATTTATCTTTTCCTTCCCCTTTCTTTATTAAAGGTCCGGGAGTGGCGGCGGCCAATCAGCGCGCAGCTTCCATTTTGTGAGTTCAACTCCGAGGCTCCCGGGCTTCGCGAGGACGCGTTTGCAGCCCCCTCTGCCTTTTCTCTCGGGCAGCCGAGGCGCAGGAGCCGCCTCGCCGGGGCTCGGAGCTGGTGTAGCTCATATTGGGGCTCTTTTCGGGGTTTGTAATTTGGCCGTGGGTAGGTAATTGGCTGGAGCAGGGCGGCAGGGCGCGGCAGCCAATCAGCGTGCGGCTTCTATAGAGCTTGAGTTATTAGACGCTGATCTCAAAACATCCTTCATCAGACACGAAGGAGAGGCCAACAGATGAGGGAAGCCATTTTTCTGCAATGGAATTAAATGGCCAAGTGGGTTTTTCCTTTGTTGCAAATGGGGAATGTTTTTCCTTTGACTCCACCATCCAGTTCAGGACGTCTCAGTGTGTTTAACATTTGTCAACAGGCCCAAGGACTCACAGTTGGAAGACTGGAGAAGACTTTTTAAAAAGATCTGGATTTTTCCTTATGACTTGGAATCCATCTTTGTCTTGTATAACTAGGTCATAGCACACCATTCATGTCAGCAGTTAACAGTTTTGAATTCCAAAAAAACCTAAGTAAATGACATATTTGTTTTTTTTTTTTTTTTCCTCTTTTTGTTCTTTGGGTGGGTGGGGGGAGCTTGGAGCTGTCTTAATCTGTATTCTCTTGACTGAACAATAAATTTTTAAATATATCGTTTCCTCTATTAAACACTTAAACCTGGCCATCTTATTAACTCCTTCTCTCTTTTTAACAAGGTAATGTTTTAAATGTATATAGCTTTAGGACTAGCGAAATGGCAGCAACAAAAAATTGTGAGCAGTTGTTACTCTTTTTAAGTTTTTTAAAAACCTTTTACGTTGTAAGTACCCAATCCATTCTGTCCTGACGCAGTGCAGTTTTTATGTTAATGTTGCTGAGATGTCCTTAATTTTCCGAACCTTCATCTGCATGTATTGTCTTTGTCTCTCTTGTTTAATATAAGCCAGTTAAGATGCTTTGAGACGATTTTGCTTTTATAAAGCTAAGGATCTAGCTTTATGCTTTTGAAAATGTTTACAGCACTAAATGGTAGTCAGCTTTCTTCCCCGTAGCTTGTACACTTTCTTTGAAAATCGATCTATTTGAAGAAAAACAGCCCTGTTTTTCTCGTCTTTGGTGTTGGGGTGGGGAGAGCTGGTGGGTGAGGGAAAGGAAGACCTTCTCTTTGTGTTGAGACTAAAACCGTCACAGGAAACTAGATTAAAACTGGAAAACAAGTCCTAGCTGGTTCCAGCAAACACCAACGTTAAGTGGGGGGTATTTTTCTATGGTGGTTGGGCGGCTGGTGCGTCTTTTGCCTTTTGTTTGACTGTGTATTTTCGCCTTTTGTCTCTTAATGACGATCACACCATTGCTATATCCAGAGCAGTAAACAGTCCTCTGCGAAGCCGCCTTTTTGCCTACCCAACCCTGGAAAGTTTGCAGAAGTGGAAGGAGCAGAACTTGCCATGAGTGTAACTTACAAAAAGGTAACAAGAACAAAGGCACCACCATGACCCCCCAATTTTCCCCAACTAAATCAAAAAATATATATGTTTTTACAATAACGTCTCCAAAACCACCGCCCAGCTTGATCTTCTAGACTCCATGGCACCGGGTTGAGCGGGTAAGTAAGAAAAAAAAAAAAAGTGCCTTTTGCCCCTTCGAGGAAACCCTTTTGCAGGCCAAGCAAGGGCTGTATTTGGGAGCTGAGGGGAGAAGGAGGATTCTGGAGCTTTGTGTTTGGCAGCCGGAGCGGGCAGTGGGGGGGGCGGGTGCGGGGGATGGGACGAGGAGGGCTCCTCGGACCCCTGTGCCTCTTCTGCCCCAAGGGCGAGAAGAGGGGCTCCGCGGCGACCCTCGGGGGTCCATGGAGCCAGCCGCCTGCCTTCGCCCCCCTCGCTCGTCCCAGGTCTGAGCCTGGATGAGAAGAAACTGAAGTGCTTTGGAGACAGGGCTCAAAAGACGAGGGGGCCTCCTTGCCCAGCCTTGGACTCTCTTTCCCTTTCGATCGTGAGCGTTCCCCACCCCGAAGCCGGCTTCTTGGGGCTCCGGGGCGCGCCTGCGCTGGCAACGCGAAGGACAAAAGGCCGGCGTCCATGTTGGCACCATGACGCAGCATCTCCGCCGGCAGCCCGGCGCTCCAGTCCTCCCGGCCGCGCTCGCTCCTCCTCCCAAACACCACTTCTATTTCCAGGCTTCGAGCCCTTCGCGCCTGGGCTGGGCCAGGCGGGCCGGGCTGGGCTGGTCGAGCGGGCGGGCCCGGCCGGGCAGGGCTGCTGTGCTAATGGCGGCGGCTCTCCTTCCTTCCTCCCTTCCCCCGGTCGTGGGGAGCCCGGAGCAGGAGGCGGGCCCGCGGCCGGGTCGGGCCCCGAGAGCCCGCGGGGGCAGCGCTGGGGATCGGGTCTCGGGGGCCGTTATGGGGACCGCGGGCCTCCGGGGCGTCGCGCGCGGCGTCTCCCGCGTTCGCCTCAGCCAGGCGCGGCGGCCTGACGGGCGCCATTTCGCGCGCTGCCCGTGGCTGGGGCGGTGGCGGCCGCCCCGCGCCAGGCAGGAGGAGCGGCCGGGGAGGGGGCTGGGCGAGCCGCCGTCGCCGGAGTTCCAGGCCGACCCGACCCGAGGCCCACGGGGGCACCAGGAGGCCTCGCCCTAACGCTTCCCCGTTCCTTTGTCCCGCGCGGGCGCCCGCACCCCAGGGCCACGGGGTTGGCGGGGCTTCAAGGTCGCCCCGAGTCCCACCCGGTCCCCGCAGCACGGCCTGGCTCTGACCCCGAGCCGCTCCCCGCTGCACACCCTGCTCTGGCCGCCTGGGCCCGGCCTCCCAGTCGCCCTTTGAGAGCCGAGCCGGCGGGGGCGGGGGTCGCCCCCTTTGTCCCCACTAAGGGCGTGAGGCCCTCGGGGTGGCCGCAGACGGGGCCCTGTTGGGCCGCCCAGAGCGCAGCCCTCCAGCCCGGATGTGGGGGAAGCCTGGGAAAGCGGAGGGGCCCCCAGGATCCCCCGAGGCGCGGGGCTCCGGGCGAAGCCTCAGATCTCCGGCCCTTCCCGGGAGGGTGCGGGCGGGGCGGGCCTTTGGAAATGCAGATGAGCCGCCGCCCGGCCCGGGCTCAACCTTCTGACTCAGCCGCCCCCTCCCGCGGCTCCTGTGGGGGCCGCTGGGGGAGGGGCGGCGTTTGGGGGCTCCCCGTCAGCCCCGGAGCCCCTGTCCGCTGTGCCTTCGGCCGGTCACATCTCCGCCCCACGCGCTCTGCCAGCCGGGGGCCGCCCTGATCCGCCTTCCTCCCCTCCAGGTTCTGGGCTGGAGAAGGGGAGACGGCCGGGCACTCCCCGCGTGGACAATCTTTCCTGTCGACGGCAGGGGCAGGCCTAGTTTGACTCTGACAATCCTCCCACTAAGGTAGGTATGAGTCCTTGCCCAGACCATGAGGGAGACTTGGGGGGCGGAACCCCAAACCCGCCGGGCTGGTTCTGCGGCCCCGCCCCGCCCCCAGCTGCGAGCGCGTAGGGCCGCCTGCTGGGCCGCCCGGGCCATCCATCCCCGCCTGTCAGCCTCTGTTGTCAGGCATTTGGGGCGTGCAATTCTCTGCCGAATTTAGCAGCATACAAGAGGCTCCACTTGCAAGTATTTCCCAGTTGTGTGTTTTTCCGCGGGGTAGGGCCCTGGGCGCCTCCTACTTCTGAAAGACACAGGTTGCTGCCAGATGGCCCAACAGTGCTGTGGCCTCCCCTCCAGCTCCCCTTGGGGGATGTGGAGTGACAGTGTGAGTCGCCCTCTGATGTCTGGCTGCCAGGGAGGCAAAGAACAGCCATCCGAGGTCCTGGCCAACTTTCTCTGTGAAAGGGCCTTGACGCTTCTCCACCTTCCTGGAATTCTTATGATCCCTTCTCCAGTCCCCAGATGGGCAGGCCTATATGTAAGCCTTGTTCCAGAACCAGACAAAGCTGGATTTGAAACCGGGCGAGCCATTGAGCAGCTATGACCTTGCAGAAGCGGCATAGCCTCCGAGCCCCAGTGTCTCCATCTAGGAAAACGGGGCTAGATCAGTGATCCTTAGTCTGGAGCTGGCATCGGAATCACGCCCGAAGGAGGCTCTTTAAAACGGACTGGAGCCTGGTCCCCGAGTGTCTGATTCAGTGGGTGGAGCCTGAGGACTTATTTCTAACAAGTTCCTGGGTGATGCTGCCGCTGTGGACTGGGAACACGTTTTGAGACCCCACACCCAGCTCCGGGCTTGGTAACACCTGGGGTCTTGAGGCAGAAGCAGGAACTTGGCACATAGTAACTGGTTTCATTCGCGCTAGCCGATCTCCTGTATTGAATAGTTTCCCATCTTGGTGTCTGAGAAGCTCCACAGCTGGAGGTGGCGGCTCTTGGTCTCGGACCCCCATGTGATATCTGGTTTGTGATTGCTTTGATGAACCATTTGGGTCCAGGTGCTCCTGTTCACACCATCTTCCCTATCTGGGAGTTGTGCCCCACCCCCACTGTAAGGGCTCCACTGAGCTTTGGGAGCCTGTGGGGCTTAACAGGGAGATCTTGCTACAAGTATCTGGTGCTAAGTTACGGGAGATTGTCAGTCAGTTTGACGTGAGCTAGGATCTCCACAGTGCTGGTGACCTTGGGCGAGTGTCTCCCTGTAAAATGATCAGGATGCCTGCTGGAAAGGGTGGTGAGAGGATTAAGTGCGTTAAGACGGCCGTCCTCCCCTGCAGGCTTCGCTGGAGTTGGCCTCCTCCATTGTGATCCGTGGTTATTGCTAGGAGTGGCTGCAGGGTGTGGGGGCTGGGCTGCCTCAGAGCTCCTCCCCCACCAGCCCACCTGCCGAAGCACGTGGCCCAGCCTCAGGGCAAAGGGGAATCTGGTGCTCCTTGGGAAGGCGGCCAGCGCGGTTCTCTGGAGTGGTTGAGTCCAGCCGGAGGTAGAGGCCTGTCCCCGGCTGCTCGAGTTGTTCCATGATGGGGTCAGGATTTGGGTCACCCACCCGAGGTCTGGGGAGAAGTGTCTTGCCCAAGGTCACAAGGCCACCACCAGTAGAGCCAGGATGGGGTTCCAGGTGGCTTGACTTGCAGCCAGCGCCTGTGCCCATGGCACCCCCTCACCCCAGCTGTCTGGGTTATTTTGGGCTTCGTCCCGTGCCAGCTGTCTGTTGGCATCCCTGCCCGGGACTGTCTGGTTTTAAGTAACCGGCGTGGTGCTGTTGGCTCTTCTTGTGAGGGCCAGGGCTGGGTTTTCAATCCTGGATGAGCTGTGCTGGGTCCGTCTCCTTTGCCGGGAGGGAAGGGTATTCCTGCCCAGACTCCTAGCTGCCCTAGTACAGCAAGAGGGTGAAAGCACCTGGTAAAAATTGAGGTTCACATTGTTAAGATCCCAGAAGCCTTTTCTCTCCTTCTCCCCTTCCATACTCCCTGAAATCTAAGTTTTAAATTTGATTCTATCATTAATCCCCCTTGATTTCACATGACCCTCTACCGCCGAGGGTGTGGCTCCCCCTTTGCATAGGTGCTCTCCGGGTGGGGTCTTTACTCCCCGCCTGCGTTGGATAATTGATGTATGGCTCCCTTCCAGCTGCACCTGGGAGGGCTCCAGCCAGTTCCTCCCCTCCGGCCCTCGATCCAATCAGGGAGCCGGTGGGTGCTCAGCTGTGGTCTGAGTGTGGTTCTCAGCGCGGTGTCGGGACCCACCTGGCTGGACTGTACCCGCCTCCCTCTGCTTCGGTCCCTCTTCTTAGTCCCGCCACGGTCGCCACCTGGGGCCTGGAGGGCGGGGCAGTTTGTCCTGCTGCTATCCCTGCTGGTCCCTCGAGGGCGCCCCGCCCACCGGTCACCCAGCGAGCTTGGGGCGGGGCCGCTGCTGGCGCCGGGTCCTGGGGCCTGCTGAGAGAGGGCCACGCCAGCGGAAGGGCCGGCGGGGAGGTGGCAGGGCTTGCCTTACTACTGAGACGCCGGCGTCCCCGCCTCTTCCGGCCCCTCCACCCAGAGCCCTAGCGTGGAATATGACCTTTCGGACCCTCGGGGTGGAGAGACGCCGAAGCCTCTGCCCGGGCTGTACCGTGAGTCGGCTCAGCCATCTCAGGTTGCCTGGCCCAGTGCGTCTCTGGCTGGCCTGTAACCTCCAGCAAGCTCCTGCCTCACCCGCCACCCCCCAGCGCTGGGAGGAGCAGGTCGGGCAATGTTTTGAGCTGTTGCTGAGTCTGGCTTTTGTGAGGGGAGCTTTTGGCACTCCAGGAGTGGTCCTGTCCCGGGCTGGTCCCTGAGTGCTCGTGGGCAGCTGAGGCCTGGAGGCTGCTCAGGGATGGTAGATGTACTTGCCAGCCCACCTCCCATCCCTGCGACCTTAGGGAGTAGCTTCATCCCTGAAGGCTCTGTCTTCTGCCTCATGTGAGTGTTACCTCTACAGCGTTCTCAGGCACCCAGGGAAGTGGGTGCCACAGCATTGCCTCACTGGGGCTGGCCAGGCTTTGCTCTGACAACTCAGCAGTGGCTGGGCCCCTGCTATTCCCTGGGGCTCAGTTTCCCTGTTGGCCTCACTATGGCGTCGGCCTCTGTGCAGACACCGATGAGTTGACCCCACAGATGCCACCTGGCCACTCCCCCAGGCTTCAGTGGCCCAACAACTCTTGTGTCAAGTACCAGCTTAAAGAGTCTTTTTTTTGCCTTCTCAAACTCTCCAGGAATTCCTGGTGACTGGAAGGGGAGTGACTCGGGTCCTCAACCTCTTGGAGGTAAGGGAGCTAGCTGCCTCTCTGGTGGGCGCACGCAGCTCTTCAGCTGGCCCAGCTCAGCCCAGCCTCCAAGGAAGCTGCGAGCAGCTGGCTTGGCTCCGAGGTATTTTTAGCTACAGATCAGCCCCGCTCCATCACCACGACAGGTGGGTCCAAATCAAACACACTCCAGGCAGGTGGGACTGGGGTTCTGCCAGCCTCCTGGCTGGCAGGGGTGAGTGAGCAGGCTGGGGCCAATGTCAGCTGTTCCGCCTGGGCCAGGCCAGGCTGGGAAGGGCACTTGTGCTCACTTCCGCCTCCACTCCTCTGCAGGCTTGTGCTCTCATAAGCAGAGATCACAGCCCATTTCCTGGATGGAGAAAGTGGACGTTGAGGTCTGAGGCTTTTGAGGACAGTCAGGACACCTCCTGTGGGCTCGGGTGACACACTCAATAGCTTCTGGGTCCTCTTCCTCCACCTCCAGGAGTGCCTTATTCACCTCCTGTGGTCCCGGGGGAACCTTGGCCCCAGCCCTGCCTCCCCAGCCAATCACAGCTCCTCTGGTTACCCCACAGGAGTTCAGGGTCCAGCTGGTGGTTGGGCTCCTCTCCTGTCCCCCACTCCCGTGGAGCCTGGCAGGCAAGTCCTCCATGATCTGACCCGGTTACCTTGACAACCCTGCCTGGCCTCCCCTCTCATGGCCCAGCCACGGAAGAAGCTGAAGAGGTTTTCTAGCTGTCATGCATTTGTCAGGCCGGGTCCCCACCCTGTTTCCCCTGCCTGCCCTTCAGTGCTGCCAAGCCGTGTGCCAGCCAGCACTCAGCCTTCCCTAAACAGTTCCCCTCTTCCAACCTCCATTGCTTCCCCCAAGACTGACCTCCTGGAAGGCTGGGGCACAACTGCCTCTGAATAAACGTGTTGCAAAAAAGGAACAAATGAGTTGCTGTGCATTTGTCTAGTGGGTGCTTGACCTAGGAGATGCCCCTTTTTCCAGTGACAGGAGAGGGCGTCCACTCAGAACCTGGGGTGGGTCCTGGCCTCCCCTTCCCAGCTCCGCCGTGGTCTTGGGATTCTATGGGCGGTCGCTGGTGCCCTCTGGCGGTCAGACCGTGCCTTGCTTGTACCGGCTGAGAACCTTGACCATGAAACTGCCAGGCTGGCGGCTTTCCTCCACGAAGTGAGATTTACCTGACCTTTGCCGAGATCTTGAAAACGGAGTCTTTGGGGTGGGGTTGCCATTAAAAAGATCCTGAGTCCTGCCAGCCCCTATCTGAAGAAACTACCGAAGGTCACTTGCCCCCAGCCATGCTGCTGTTGGTGTTTTGTTAGAAATGGGCTCTTCCTACCCGAGTTGGTAGAATCCCACTCTCTCGGCCACGCTCCCGTGCCTACCTGCCGTGGACTGGCTCCCCGGGTCCCTCTGCCACCCTGACCGCTCACTTGGCTGGTGCCGAAGGCAGTCAGCCCGCCCGGGGTGGGGGTTACGGTGACCTCAGTCATCAGACCTGATAGCGTTGCCTACAGTTAGTGCCCAACAAGCTGTTTCCATCAGGAGATGCCGGGGTTCGGGGGATTCTTGGAGTGAAGGACACGTGGCTGCTGGCAGAGAAACGCATTTTCTTACATTTCTTGGTTGATGTGGGGTTATCAGTCTCCAAAACGCAAGGAGAGGGACCCAGCTGACTTCAACTAGAGCTACTCCAACCTGCCCCTCCCTGACGGCGTCTTGGCGTGGTTCACGCTTCTGGCTCCTGCTGAAAGGAGGCGCCCGCCCACGTGGTTTGGGGCCAACCTGCGGCCGGCGTTGAGGCGATTGCCCGGCAGAGGGCGCTGGGCATCCACTCTACAGCCCGGGGCCGGGTGCGGTTAAGGGGAGCCCAGTCCCTCACCCCGAGCCCGCGCGCACGCAGGCGCCCCGGGGCGAAGTGAGGTGGGCAGACACGACCCTCACATCAGCATCTTCCCCGGTGCCACCGCCGCTACGTCCTGTGGGGAAACTGAGGCCAGAGGCAGATAGGTGCGAAGCCACGCCGCTGGGGCAGTGCAAAGCTGAAGGGCTTTTTACGGAGCTCGAGGCCGGGGGCTCCTCGAACCCGGTGCGGAGGCACAGCCCGCCAATCCGGGAGGCCCTGTCCGCGCCGGCCAATCGGAGCGTCCCTGCCGAAGGAGTTGCCTGCCAATCCGGGGCGCCCTGAGTCGCTGGGCAGCCACGGTCCGGTCTCGCCGGCTGGGGGCGCGCCGTGACGCGCCGGGGTGGCGGTGGGAGCTGCGCTCGCAGCTGAGCCCCGTTTCTCTAGTGCCGCAGTATGCCTGGTACTGAGAGCTGAATACCCACACCCAGGGCTGGGGCCGTAGCAGAAAGGAAGGCCGGGAGGCTGCCTGGCGGAGGCGGTGCCGCTCCGAGTGGGCGGGGCTAGTCCAGGCTCCGCCCCGCCCCCTACCGCTCCGCTCCGCTAGTGCCCGGCACGCCGCCGCCAGTACTGCCGGCTCCGGGCTATGGATGCCCCGGGGGCTCCGGCCCCGACCGCCGCCCCCGGCCCGGGCAGGAAGGAGCTGAAGATCGTGATCGTGGGCGACGGCGGCTGCGGCAAGACCTCGCTGCTCATGGTGTACAGCCAGGGCTCCTTCCCCGAGGTGAGGCCCGCAGCGGGGCTGGGGTGGGGGCGAGGGACCCCTCTCAGGCTGAGCCCGGAGCCCCGACCCTCGGCCCCCGGCATTCCGATTCCGGAGAGGTGGCCGCCACCCGGGGCGCCCCCTCGGGAATTCCAGAGCCCAGCGAGGTGAAGGGGGCTGATCCCGGACAAGTGAAGGGGGCGGACAGTGGGGTCAGCTGGAACCTGGGCCCACTAGGGACCAACCCCACTACGTCTCCCGCAGCACTACGCCCCGTCGGTGTTCGATAAGTACACGGCCAGCGTGACGGTTGGCAGCAAGGAGGTGACCCTGAACCTCTACGACACGGCCGGTGAGTGCGCCTGCGCGCCGGGGGTCCCGGGGGTCCACCCGCCCGAAGGGTTTCCCCGCCGGGGCATCCCCCACCGGGCGTCCCCACCCTGCACCCTGGCGGGGCCCTGGCGGCTCTTCATTCCTGGAGGCCACTCAGAGCGCTGGCAGCGCGGCCCTAGAGGCCAAGCCCTGTCTCTGAGTGGAGGGTGTTTGGAGGAGGAGGCAAACTCCTGGGCCACCCTCCCAGCTCTGTGCGGAGAGCCCACAGCTCGTTCCTCTCCTGTGGTTCTAGAAAGCAGCGTACTTCTCTTGGGCCTCCCATGATTCCAGGATTGCTGCGCTGCCTGCTGTGGTCTCTGCAGACTCTGAGGGCCGCAGATTTGAGTCTCCGGGTGCTCGGATTGCCTGGGCTGTGTTTCTGGGTCCTGTGGTTCTGGGATGCTGCCGGCCACAGATCAGCCTGTGACTCCAAGGCTCTGTGGGTGCTCTCTGCAGCCTGAGGCTCCGGGGTCCTGTGGGCATGAGTTCTGCATCTGCAGCTCCGGGGATTCCACTGCTTGCAGTTGGTGGTTCTGGAATTCTGTGGCTACAGTTACTTCTGTGCTTTCCTAGTTCCCTGGGAGGAAACCAGACAGTGTAGAAAATGAACTAAGGAAGGAACAGAGCACTGGGCACCGGGGCCCCACACCAAGCTCTGCTGCTAGTCACATCCCGGCCACGGGCGGTTTGTGGATTTCTGTTCAATTGCATGAGAGTTGGTGTTGTGAGGGGTGGGGACCGGAGGAACACAGTCAGTGGGAGGACCCTGGCTCCCATCTGGGCTTCATCAACATTGGGGACCAAAGGTTGAGATCCCCAGGTGGGGCCTCACCCCACCTCTGTGACTCAGTGTTTAGTGACCTGTGGGAAACCATGTGATCAGGTGGCCCTCCCCTTCCAGCTAAGCCTTTATGGGTGAGGTGAAGGGTCCCATTGACCTAGGATGGAGCCAAAACTCAGGACCCCCCACCCCCACCAGCTAGAACGTGGAGAGGACCACAAAAGGGGCTGTCCCAGCTCAGAGCCACCTCCATTCCAACTTCAGCAGGTCCCGCCTTAGCAAACTCTTGAGGAACCTGTCTTTGCAGGATGTGGGCCCTGTAGGGCCACCCCCAAAAGGGGACCTGTCTCCAGTCCTGGGTGAGCTGGGAGAGCCCAGCAAAAGTGTGGTCTCTCTCAGACACTTTTACTTTCTCGTTTCTTGTCCAGAGACCCCACTTTGTGGGTCAAGTGCTGCTGGGCAGAGACATTCCCAGCAACCCACGGCCCCTCCTCCTCTGCCTTTGGGGCTTCCCTACCAGGCCGGGGTTCACGGTTCACGGCAGCCTCCACATCATGAGAACATGGATGGCCTTTCTGGCCTTGCCCAGAGAGAGATGCTCAAAGAACATGTCGGAGTAAATTGCAGTGTGGAGATTCTGGAAAGCTGCAAGTTGGTATAGGAAGAATTTGTGCTAAAAGCTGCTATGAGAGGGACAGAGAGCGTCCCCTTCCATAGTCACCACAGGCAGGCGACCACCGGCACTGTGGGGGTCCCATCCACAGTCCCATCCTGTCAGATCTGGGCTTCGACACCGGCTCCACTGGCTGTGTATCACTCACTGGAGATGTCTGGGCCTCAGTTTCCTCATCTGTCATGAGAGCTAAGAGGGTCACAAGGATTAAATCAGATTACTATATGATGTCCAGCACTCAGCGCAGGGGCTGGATCTGGGGAAGGGCTCAGCAAATGTCCTTGTGACTTTTAAGACCTGCTTACCAGGCTGGGTGCAGTGGCTTACGCCTGTAATCCCAGCACTTTGGGAGGCTGAAGTAGGAGGATTGCTTGAGGCCAGGAGTTCAAGATCAGCCTGGGCAGCATGACGAAACCCCATCTCTACTAAAAATATGAAAATTAGCCAGGTATGGCAGCATGTGCCTGTAGTCCCAGCTACTCGGGAGGCCGAGGCAGGAGAATCGCTTGAACCTGGGAGGCGAAGGTTGGGGTGAGCTGAGATCGCACCACTGCACTCCAGCCTGGGCAACAGAGCAAGACCCTGTTTCAAAAAATAAAAATAAATTTAAAGACCCTCCTACCATCACTGCCATGGTCCAAGCTGGCCTCAGCTTCTGCCGCAGTGGGGGCATCTGTCTTCCCTGGCAAGACTCTTCCAAGCAGCAGAGAAGTGGGGCTCAGGGAAGGAGCTGGCCTCATACTCTGACAGACCAAGGAGGAGTATCCAGGAAGAAGAAATCTGGCTGCTCCTTCCAGGGTGTCCCCCGTGACTGGGGAAGACCTGCTCATTAGAGGAAATCCCCTGGTCAGTGAGCACTGCCAGGGAGGGTCCAGGTCCCGGTGCTTGTCATGAAGCAAGGCTTGGAAGGTGATGGAATGAATGGGTGTAGGTCTGAATTCGGAGGTGATTCATCTCTGCCTGCATGGTCGGCTCTCAGGAGAACGTGGCACACAGTGATGACCGGGCGGCCACCTAGAGAGAGGCAAAGGCCAAGAGGGTGAGGGAATGGCCAAGCCAGAAATGAGTCTAGTAAATGTAGTTGTAGAAGGTTCTAGAACCCACTGGGCTACACCCAGTGGCGGAAGGGGCATCTTCTCAACTCGTGGCCGCCAGAGCTGTGCGACAGACAGGGGCAGCTCTTGAGGCTGAATTTCTCCACACTGGACCAAACGCTGGCCCAAGGTCCAGACCCTGCCCACAGGGGCCCTCGTGGAAGGCCCGTCTGGCTCCGTCTCCATTCTGAGGAAGTAGTTATAGACAGTGCAGCGGAGGGAGGGGAGATGGGGTGATGGGGCTTTCAGGGCTGAGGGGAAGGGGCGGGGGCTGTGGCACCCACTGCTCTGTCGGCCTCACCCCGGCCCCAACATCCTCTGAGGCAGGAAGCTGCGGTGAGGTTTGAAGCTTCCTGGGCAGGGGGAGGCAGGAGAAGGTGGGCTGTGAAGACAGACAGGGCTGAGCTCATAGGGCCAAGGTGTGGGGACCAGGGTTGGAGGCGCACAGGATGGGGTGTGGGTTGCCTGGGAGTGGCAATCCCCTTCTCAGCCTGAGATGGGAACAGAAAGAAAATTGGTGGGCAAAGGAGTAGCAGTTGCTACGACAAGGAAGCAGGGACAGGTGGGTGTCGTGAGCCCCAGGAACACTGGAGGCCTGGGCCGGGCCAAGGCTGGGGTCACACAGAAGGAGGTCTCAACTCCCGGCTGGGCTGCCCAGCCCCTGTCTCTGGGGGAAGCACAGGTGGGCGGTCCCCAGCAGAGTGAGTAAAAGTGGGTTCCTCTTCTGGCAGCTTCCCTTCTCATGCTGCCCACAACCCTCCCTGACCAACGCCCCAGCTGGAGCTGGGGGCCACCTGCCCTGTGTGTCCTTGGGCAGACTTGGGGTCTTTTCTCCTCAACCCTACCCCAGGCCTTAGAGACCCCTGACCCCAGAAGGAGGACTGCCTTGGCAAAGTCCCATCCCCCCAAGAAAATAGCCTTGTAGGCCCGATGGCTCATGCCTGTAATCCCAGCACTTTGGCAGGCCGAGGCGAGCAGATCACGAGGTCAAGATATCGAGACTGTCCTGGCCAACATCGTAAACCCCATCTCTACTAAAATACAAAAATTAGGCCGGGTGTGGTGGCTCACACCTATAATCCAAGCACTTTGGAGGCTAAGGTGGGCGGATCACCTGAGGTCGGGAGTTCAAGACCAGCCTGACCAACATGGTGAAACCCCATCTTTAAAAAAATAAAATAAAATAAAAAATTAGCCAGGCGTGGTGGTACGTGCCTGTAGTCCCAGCTACTTGGGAGGCTGAGGCAGGAGAATTGCTTGAACTTGGGAGGCAGAGGTTGCAGTGAGCTGAGATCATGCCACTGCACTCCAGCCTGGGTGGCAGAGCAAGACTCCGCCAAAAAAAAAAAAAAAAAAAGCCCTGTGTGCAGCCTGAGCCTCCCTTCCGCCCAGCCCTGCCGCACGCCCGAGTGCACTTCAGGATATGGGCAGCTCCAAGGGGAGCCCGGGCCTAGAGACTTTAACTCACCAGAAGCACATGCATCCTTTGCATGTAACTCCTGGAGTTTTTTGGGGGGTGTGGTTAGCGACAGGGTCTCGCTGTGTCACCCAGGCTGGAGTGCAGTGGCATTGTCATAACTCACTGCAGCCTCAGCCTCCTGGGCTCAAGTGATCCTCCCACCTCAGCCTCCCAAAGTGCCGGGATTACAGGTGTGGTCTCCTGGGCTGTCTTAACCTCTAAGCCCATCTGCAGAGGCTGGGTGGGTCCCCTCTGTGACTATGGGCAGGTGATATTGCCCCTTTCAGCCCTGGTATCATTTTGGGTAGAATGTGGGAGGATAGTGATATCACCTGGTGTCTGGGAGGCCCCTAAAACTTCTTAGTCCAAATATTCGGGGGTTCTGACCACCCCCACCCCAGGCTATTAACTTCCCATGGAGGTTTCTGTTTCAAGAGTAACCACAGCAGGGCATGATGGCTAACACCTGTAATCCTAGCACTTTGAGAGGCTGAGGCAGGCAGATTACCTGAGGTCGGGAGTTCAAGACCAGCCTGGCTAACATGGCAAAACCCCGTCTCTACTAAAAATACAAAAAATTAGACAGGTGCAATGGTGCGCGCCTGTAATCCCAGCTACTCTGGAGGCTGAGGCAGGAGAATGACTTGAACCCAGGAGGTGAAGGTTGCAGTGAGCTGAGATACAGAGACTTCATCTCAAAAAGAGTAACCACAAAAGCAGTGCCTCCCACCTCCCAGCCCTGCCTCCCCCACCCTCACCCCCGTCCGATTGCTCCCCCTCTGCTGGTGTTTCACTTTCCAGATTAGGGGCAGGGTTATCACTATTGCCACCCCCTTTCCCAGATAAGGAAGTTGACACCCAGAGAGGGAAATGTAGACGTCAGTTTGAGATGTGGAGACTGCACTGAGCGGTCCCGCCCAGAATGTGCATGACATGAATGAATGCAACCTGACCCTCCTGACTCCTGCTGTTG